GGTCACAGGCCTTAATGCTCGAGTTGGACACAGACACAGAGTGGTTCAGGGTGATGGGTATGTGATATTTGGGGCTGAGTCACAGTTTTTGTGCAGAGACCTGACAGGAGAATAAAGTGGGGACGTTGATGTCGGTAAGAAGTGTTGGTGGGTGTTGAATTCCCTTTAGAGCCGCGTCTCTGTTTCTCTGTAGATGAAGTCAGCAGAGCAGGGATGGGTGTTCCTACTTCTGCAGAGAATTGCGTGTCCTCCTCATCGACAAATTCGAGAGGCCGACCTGCCCATCCAATTGCAACATCTTGAATCTGCTTCTTTCTATCCAGGAGTAGATTTCCAGCTAAGATGCCAATCAAAAATTCCCGTGTCCAGGGTTAGAGCTGTGTGCCTTTGGGATGATCTCAGAGATGCCTCTACAGAGGCTCGGTGTGCTCTCTCTCCCTCAGAGCACACAGTTCCCTTCAGTCCGCTGGGTCTCAGCAGAGAAGATTTCACAAATAGCCCCTCTCAGGCCCTGGGGACCAACCTCCCGCTTGGCCGAGCTCTGAAAATGAGCACGAGTTCCAGGCAAAGGGCCTTCTCCAGGGCGCCATCTGGCAGAATACATGAGGACAGTGTACAAAAGAGTGGGAGGGTTGATGGTATAAATGGATTTTAATTTTTGCTCTGAATCTGATTCTGTCCCTCCGTTTTGTTAAAGAAGTGTTCTTAGGCCAGACATGATTCTCCTTTTTCTTTCTATTTGATCATCCAAGATGTTTAGATAGGATATTTGTTTTAGGGGTAGAATCTTAAAAAAAATAAAAAAAACCTTGCATATAGCGTCTTTTTAGGCATTTGGACAAGTAAATTCTCCCAGCAGTATTGAACCCCCTTGTTCCTCCATGGGGTCTCCAAAGGTATACATGTTCCAATTCTGACCGAAAACCAATGAGCCTTTTCTTTTTTTTAAGCACTTCACCATGGACAAAAGATGTCATTAAAGAAGGTGAGAAAAGAGCAGGTCCCCATCAACCAGAGTCCCTCCCAAAGAGCCCACAGAAGTAAAGAGGAGATGAACAAGAGAAACGGTTTATTTATACACACGCAGGAGCCAACCAGAAAAGTAACTACCATGTTAAATGGTGAAAGTTAAAGGCTTTTTTTATCAACCTAACTTGATAGGGCAAAGGGAGAGGAGAGAATTGGCTTCCATGACAGGTTTTCTTCAACATCCATTGAATCTCATGTATCTTCAGCTTAAAGTGCTTTTGTATTAACCATGGGTTCCATCTGACTTTCCACTCCTCGAACTTTGTTCTTCTTTTTCAAGATTCACTCATGTATTCTGAGCCCCTGGATTTTCCATGTGAATTTTATGTTGATTGTCAATTCCTGCAAAACACCACCTGGGATTTGGGTAGGCATACTTTGAATCCTTAGATCTATTCGTGGACTACTGTCATCTTAGTAGAATGAAGCCTTCTGCTCCATGAATATGGGATTAATTTCTGTGAATGTAGGTCTTAATTTCTCTCAACAGAATCTCTCATCTATTGTAGGCTTCAGTGTCCAAGTCTGGTACTTCTTCCTCACCTCTATTGGATGCTGATACATAACAGACACGACCTCCTGGAGAACCTCTGCTGCCACGGAGCTAACATGGAACTGGGTCCTGAGAAGGATTTGTTCTTTACGGATTCTTAACTCCTGTAGAATTCATATTTTACTCTCATAAATGCTTATTTTCCTCATAATAAATCTTTTAAAAATAGGATTAATGTACTTTACTCAATAAATGAGTAATGAATGGTTTACATTAACATAGGATTTTAATCCTTTTAGAATTAGTAGAGTAATACAGACACATTACAAAAAAAAGAATTATTACCTTAAAGAGAAGAGATTTGTATATCCCACCCACAGAGGTGACTGTCATGAATGATTTGGTGCTTATCTCTCAGTCTCTGTGTCTCTCAGTATGTCTCTCTCCATCTCTGTCTCTCACACACTCACAATCAGATTCATTTACATCTATGTTGATTTCACACATATGTGGTCGTGCAGATGGGACCCTGGATGCAGACGCTGGGTCTGCATACTTCCACCCTGAGGCCTCCCTTGGCATTGGGTTGAGACCAAGCACCCACTTTTCCAACTGCACAGCATTCATTCATCTACGTGAACCAGAACAAATGGGCCCCATCCCCTCTCCATTTACCTTAGTGTTGCTTTAATTCCAACTATTTCGACCAGTGCTGTGCTGAACACCCTTGAAAAGACATCTTTGAATAGGTGTGCAAGGACTTTTGTGGAATGAACTCTAAAGTTCCTGGGGAAGGGATGCACCTGTGGCCCTTTGATGCGTGCTGAACCCTGTTCTCCCAGAGAGGAGTGTCCGTTCACTCTTTCCTCCAGGGTATCTGCTGGAGCCTCTGCTTGCTCACATTGTCACCAGGGCTGGTTGTCACCTGACTAAATGCCTGTCAGTGTGATGGTGACAAGTGTTGTTTCCATAGTGTATCCATCTGCCTGTGTCCTCACCTAAGAGATCAAGCATCTCTAACACACACTGGCCACCTACACTGCCTCTCGTTGGAACTGCCCATGTCTGTTCTGTTCCTGTTTAGAACACTGGATTTCGAGAGATTTTTGGGCTACAGAGATGTGAAAACTTTCTCCAACCTTGGGTTATGAGAAGCGCTTTTTCCAGGTTGTGGTTTGTCTTTCCAGCTTTTTTTCTGGGCTTTTGCTTGTTTTTTTTGATTTGTTTGGTTTTGTTTTTGCCACAGGAAGAGCTAAGAATCTCCTTTCTGTCTTCTGGCTGTGGTGTCACTGGGTGAACAGCAGTGTCTACCCTGAGATTATGCACAGAGTTACTAAAAGGGCTTCATTTTGTACACCACATCTTTAATCCCCCTGTATTTCCCTTTAAAATAATAAAAATGTTATTTCAAGTGAAAGCAAACAAACAAAAAAATCACCAGCCCCAACTTAAAACATGTGGGCAGGCACAAAAAGACACCTTTCATAAAGTTTCATTGACAGGGAACACCCAGAAAAGGTAAAGACACCCAGAGAGTAAGAGGACTTGGGGTTGTCAGGGGCTGGGGGAGGGAGGAAGGGAAGTGCACGCTCTGGCTCCAGGGTTTTACTTTGAGGAAAGAAATAGAGTGAAACTAGATGGTAGTGATGGTCGCACATCAGTGTGAATGCAACTAATGCTCCTGAATTGCACAATTTAAAAGGGAGAAAGTCTATATTTTATTACAGGAAACTTTAAAAAGAAAAGTAAAATGTGAAACAAACAAAGGAAAGCAAAGAAAAACCAAACAAAAACATCTCCAGCAGAAGGGAAGTCAAGTTTGGGTGGGGGAGAGGACTGATGGGATTTTGGAGAAGAAGGTGTGGGTGGGTGCAGAGGGGGCTCAGCCTCAGGGGGTGATGATGCCTGAACTGGTTCTCCGTTGCCTAGCAGTCCAGGTGCAGGTGCAGGTGAAGGTTCAGGAGGAGCTGCAGGAGCTGCAGGAGGGAGCTTGGGGTCTCCTGCTTGATCTAGATCATCCTTTTTCTGGTCTCTGACATCTTCCCCTGCCCCCGCCTGCTCTGGATCTGTAACTGTTGGAAGTGGAGAGAGTTTTAAGTCTTATGGAAGTGCTTATGCTGTGAGAGAGGAAAAACTTACCCACGTGCCTCCCTTTCATGTGCCTCTTCAAAGACGGAAATCTTCCCAGAGCTTTCCAGACTGCTCCCACCCAGAAAGTGACCACAGGATTTGTTCTGTGACTGAATTCTTCCAGAAAGGTGGTCTGAGGCCATTCTTTGCTCTGGTCTGAAGAGTAGCCTCTGGGGACGCCTCCCTGTGTGACCCAAACTTCTCACCTCCCTCACCTACACACATGCACCAGCCCTGCCTTTCTCACCTTCAGGCTCTGCTTCGGGGGCTCCTGGTCCTCCACCTGACTTGCAGCAAGGTGGGCACGGTGCTCCAGGCCAGAGCCGGGTGTGCTGAGCTGCCCGTCAGCCCCGGGCAGGTCCCTTGGGAGAGCCCTGGGTGATGTCTGGGTTGGAGGCCTGCCTCATTCATTTCTGGGCCGTCGTGGTGGGGACCCCTCCATATCTAGACTCACCTGGAGCCTGCACTGGCCCTCAGAAGTGTGGCACACCAGCCCCTCACTTGGGGAGGTGGCGTGGGTGTTCTTATCCATCAGCTCCTGTTCAATATGTGGTGTCTGGCTCTGCAATGACTGACCAGCAGCTGGTCCAGCCTGGAATTCTCAGATCCCTGCCCGGCCAGAAACACTCCTGCTTCTGTCCACTCGACCCTCTGCTGCCAGATCAGACTGGGACCTTGTTCATCTCAGTCACCCGGGAGGGAAGAGACATACCCAGACAACATGGGCTCCACCTCAGGCAGCAGGGCCCTGCCCTGGCTCTCCACATCCCAGCCAGCCAGCTTTGACCTGGGTTGTGGATGTGACCGGCCTCCCAGGCCTCTGATCTGCTCTTGCTTGAGGCAGAAACCCATCCCCAACATGACTGCCCCACCTCCACCAGCCAGGATGGGGCCGTGGGGCCACCTGGGTGGGATTTGAGTGGTGGCCCGGCCTGGGTGGGCCTGCCCTGGGCCTCCTTGTGTTACCTTTGGGTATCTCTGGCCAAAAGGCCAGAGACGCCTGGGGTGAGACCAGACCAAGTGTTGGCACCATTGTTAAAGCTCCTTGGTGCAGGCTTTCTGAAGGCCACGGCTTCAGGATGTTGACATGCAGCAGAACATGTCTCTGTCTCCAAACAAGTGAGCTGAGTAGGGGCTTCCCTACAGAGTGGGTGCCTGGTGACCTCGGTTCCAAGTTGTTGTGCTCTATTGCCAGGGAAGTGAGGTCACTTCTTGGGTCCCCTTCCCCAGGCTCTCTCCTTAAACAAAGCTCCACAAGGTACATTCTGGGCTGCCAATGGCTCACTTCCCAGCCCATGTCATGTCCTCACACAGCGACACCAACTCAGCCCCCCACCCAATAGCCCTGGGGAGTCCTGGATGCAGCCAGGGCCACAGGTCTCAGGACACAGCAGGGTTCAGACCCTGCTCCCCAAACTCAGCAGTGTTGTCAGCCTGGACAAGCCACGTCCCACTCAGGGTCTCCCCAATCCCCCGTCTGCACAGTGGGGATCATTCTGGCCCCTGCTTCCTAGAGAAGCCATCCTGTCTGTAGACCAAGAAACACCTACTGCACCTGTCACCCCCACGGGCTGGCATCACAGGGAGCTCGTGCACAGACTCAGCGAAGGAAGGACCCCACAGAGGCCTGGCGGAGGGCAGAGCACATGCCACACAGACCGGGGTCTGCCCTGGGGTCTGGAGAAAGTCACTTTCCTTGCTGCTTGCTTCCCAGCTCCCGGTGGTGGGATTGAAATTAAATACAACTCTGACATCATCCGCTCTGGCATACAACCTCCTAGGTCATTCTGTCATGTTGACATACAGGCCCAGTGTCCCACCTCGGCCTCTGTGGTGGGCTGCCCCACAATGTCTTCCTGTTTTTTGCCTTCTGGTCACACGTCCTTGTGTGATCCCCACACCCTCCCCTGGAGGGTGGATGGACATTGGGACCAGGTTCTGACACGTAGACTGACTTGTGAAAAATGTGCGTGAGTTCCACTCATTCCCAGCTCCAGTGTTCATTTTCTCTGTCTGTCTCTCAGTGCCTCTCTCTCTGTCTTGTCTCTCTCTCTGTTTCTCTGTCTCCCTCTGCTTCTCTGTTTTCCTGGATGTATGTGTGTATATATTTATGTGTCTATATGTGTATATATTTATGTGTATATGTGTGTATTTATATGTGTGTATTGTTAGGGCCCAGGGAAGGTCACTTCTAAAAATGCCTTGATGACATATTAATTATTTTGAATTCATGTTACTGAAGAAAAATCATCTTTTAAAGTTGTGCAAGAACTTTAATGGGATCAGCCCTAAGGATCAGCCCTACTGGGGAAGGGATGCACCTGTGGCACTTTTATGTGTCCTGTACCCTGTTCTCCCAGAGAGGAGCGTCCATTTGCTCTTCCTTCCAGGCAATCTGCTGGGTCCTCTGCCTCCACACATTGTCACCAGAGCTTGTTGTCACCAGGCTAAAGACCTGCCAGTCTGATGGTGGCCAATGCTGTCTCCACAGTGTGTCCGTCTGCCTGTGTCCTCACCTGACACACACTGGCCACCTGCACTGCCTCTCATTGGAACTGACTGTGTGTGTTTTGTTTCTTTTCAGAACACGGGGTTTCAAGAGGTTTTTGGACCACAGGGATGTGAAGCCTTTCTCTGACCTTGGGTCATGAGGAACGCTTTTTCCAGGTTGTGGTTTGTCTTTCCAGCTGTCTTTCTTGACCTTTGTTTTCTGGTTTTGTTTGGTTTTATTTTGCTACAGGAAGAGCTAAGCATCTCCCTTCTGGCTCTGGTTTCACACTATGAACAGCAGTGCCTACCACGAGATTATGCACAGAGTTACTAAAAGGGCTTCATTTAGTATGTCTCATCTTTAATCCACCTGGATTTTCCTCTCAAAATACAAAAATGCTATTTCACATAAAAAACAAAAAAAATTCACCCATCTCTGCTTAAGATATATGGGCAGACAAAAAAAAACCCCACCATTTTTATGATTTCATTGATAGGAGACCTCCAGGATAGGTAAAGACACAGAAAGAGAAATGGGATTAGTGCTTATCACAGGCTGGGGGAGGGAGGATGTGGGATGTGCTTTGGATATGAGCTTTTACTTTGAGGAAGGA